AGGATCTACTGTGCTGCTTCTACTTGGCTAATGAAGACGGGCATATGCCATGCAGTGTGCTATGAGGGCAATTCCATCCAATTAAACACGGTTTATGTGTCAGACCCTGTGAACACTTCTCAATGTTTCGATAACAGTCATAATCCAGTTGAGGGGGGTTGGTTAGCACGTGCGCACTGTATCATACGGTCTGTCATTGAGTCAACTGGCGTGGTTTCGATTCCCCGGTTGTACGTAACAAGGAGTATGGTCGCCTATCTAACCTCTGGGGTTTTTTCCGGGTCCTCCCATTTCCTCCAACTGCTAAAGACTCCTACGTGCAAGCAAATTATTGAAATCAAAATTGAACCATATGTTAGTCCCGAAATGACCTAGTTTGTGTCGAATGGGCGTTAAACCCCCATCTCTCTCTCTCTCTCTCTCTCTCTCTCTCTCTCTCTCACTCTTTATACAGTATAATAATTACTATGATTATATTTATATTCTATTTTTGTATATATAGAACCATCAACCGGTCTATATACAGTTTAATAACGACTACGGGTCTATTTATATTCCAGTTAGACCAATCGTACATATAGAACCCTCAACCAGTCCATATAAAGTTATAGAAGGAGGGCAACTCTTGTTGACTTGTCAAGTCATTAATTCTGGTTTAGCAGTGCCATCTGATGTTTTTAATTGGACTAAGAATGGTGTACAGATCCCAGATCAAAGTTCATCTATATATAGAATGCAACCAGTAGAGAGATCAGATACAGGCAATAATTATACCTGTACAGGTAGTAACAGTGCTGGCCAAGGTAGATCATCTACACCTGTTCAACTTGATGTTTTATGTAAGTAATTGTTACCATTTGTTTATATTTACCATCTACTACTGAAATGTTTATCGTTTATTGATCAGTTTTCGTGTAATTGGGACATTGGCTTAAATTCAATATGATCTGATATTATAGTCGCGTTTCAAAATAATTTCCAACATTGTTTATTAGATTGATAACTCTATCATCTGACTAAATCATTATAACTGTTGTCTTGGTAACTGTATCATCCGACTGGCCGTTATATCTATGTTGTTTGTTTTTTAGTCGGTCCCATGGTAACTGTATCAGTTGATTCTGTAACTAAAACAGAGAATGACGACCTTCAGTTGATCTGTACCGTTGAATCTAATCCACCACCAACAACGTTTAAATGGTATAAACCAGATGGTAGTAGTGTTGATGTATCTTCTAATGGACGTCTTGATATAACTAGAATTACCAGGAATCAGGGTGGTATATATAGATGTGAAGCTATTACTACTCTAGTACCAACTAATGGTATTTCTATAACTAGATCTCACAATAAAACTATAGATGTCACTGTACTGTGTAAGTATGACTAGATCCCACAATAAAACTATAGATGTTACTGTACTGTGTAAGTATAACTAGATCCCACAATAAAACTATAGATGTTACTGTACTGTGTAAGTATAACTAGATCCCACAATAAAACTATAGATGTTGCTGTACTGTGTAAGTATTACTATATCTAATAGTACTACTATCAATCAATCAACCCATCAATCAACACAGAATTTGTATAGCGCAAACAATACTTCAGATAAAGTTCCTAATGCGCTATAAAGTTTATGTGGATTCTATTGATATTATTATATCGTTTAAGTATTACTATATCTGATAATAAAACTATAAATAAAACTGTACTGTGTAAGTATAACTGTCATTTTTTTTATTTCGATTATTACCAGGAACCACTGTACTAGAGACGACAGAAGAACAATCGATACCAACCATCGTGCGGTCAATATCAAAAATCAAATGGTCGAATTCCGCAATATCACATAGCATAACGACTTCTCTTACCCACAACTACCAGGCACAAGAGGAAAATATACTGATGTTTTCACACTGACAATTAACATATTTACTATCAATTGTTGAGTAATTGTAATGAATTTTAATCTGAAAACTTGATTCGTCACAAATAATATTATATGAACTTTGATATTATTTACAGACCTCGATCCAGTAACTTTATTACCAACTGGAGATAAACTGACAGTAAATGAAGGAGATTCAACCAGTATCACGTGTTCTACTAATAGTAACCCTGTAGCCTTGATTACCTGGTACGATGGTACAACTATAATAACATCTACACAAACCAACATAGATACCTTTACTATACAAGAACCTACATGTCTGGATACTGGAGACTATACTTGTCACGCTGCCAATACAGAAATAACAAATGTTCAATACAACCAATCATTGAAAGTATTTATTAACTGTACGTATATAATTGATACACTACAACATATCACTGTAAATTTGATATCGTTGTGAACAAATGAAACTATGTGACACAGAAAAAAAAAACCTTTCACTTCGCCGGTCGGTATAGTCGGTCAAAGGAAGGGCATCGCTCACCTTGGATGATCTAAAAATAGTAACATAAGTTGTTTGTCACAGTAAATATAGTACCTATTTTTATGTAGCCTCGTTTTGATCATTTCCGATACACTGAAACTAGACTCGGTTTTCTTTTTGTTTTTTTTTGTCGGACTAAGATTTCATATTATTTTTCACAAAATATACAAACAAATATCTACAAATAGCATTACTTATTACACGAATAAGTGACGATTCGAAAGGATCCTTTTTGTAAACTAAGGAAGACGATGAAAATATCCAAGTTCTGCTCAACCGATTTTAGCAAACTTGGCATTAAATTGAAGCCTACATTAAAGAAAACTTTTCTACGGGACAAATGGTGAAACATATTTTATTTCAGGCCGGTTTACATAACAACATTTGAATTTGTTTGATTTTCAGGAATTTTGGCATTATTATTGGCACCATGAAAATACACTCCCGTACGGTGGCTGATTTAGGACACTAAGTCGAGCGCTTGAGATACTAAGTCGAGCGCTTGAGATACTAAGTCGAGCGCTCGAGATAGTTAAGTCGAGCGCTCAAGATAGTTAAGTCGACCGCTCGAGATAGTTAAGTCGAGCGCTCGAGATAATAACGTCGAGCGCACGTGATAATATAGCCGAACACCTCTCAACCGATGTTTTAAGCTGTATAATTTTGAGCATAATTTGATGATAAACTTGCAGAATAAAAATATTCAGTAGTTGGTTTTTAACTATCTCGACTTAGTATCTCAAGCGCTTGACTTAGTATTTTGAGAGCTCGACTTTATATATTGAGCGCTCGAGATATTTTTTTCTGGCGTGTCCTAATTCAGCCACCGTACACGCGCCATTTTATGGAGGACTAGCGTAAGTATGTGCATGTCAAAAATCAAGACTGAGAACTTTTTAGATTTACGATGAAAATTGACCATTTTTTTAACCCATTTTAAAATTGATTATCTTTAAAACCACGAGAGATATGTGCCCAAACTATGGCTTGAATTGCATTTATGTGGAACGGAGTTTGAACAAGAATATAAGACTAATTTCGAAGTTACCATAGGTCAGATATGGCAACGCAGTTACTGTCTTACAACTTTGATTATGGAGTGATATATACCATTATTGGTTAGGTTTGTATATTCAGTAGGGATAGGTATAATTAGGAATAATCACGCCGTCAAAATATGTGACTTCTTCTACAGCCAGTTTACACCCTGCTAACTAACGACTACACTAATCACCTTCTATACACACTGAACATTAGTTTAGAATAATGATCACTTTTATGCAATAATGACAGAACATTACATTACTAAAAGGCCTAGGTTAATAAGTCGACGGCCTCAGTTTAATAGTATATGTTATATCCTATCCATAATATTGTTATATACAGGTTCACCAAGACAAGATACTCGAGTTATAACAACATCTATAGTTAGTGGTAATATAAGAGATATAGTACAACTGGTAGCTGATGTTATATCCTATCCACCACCAACCTTCACCTGGTATTATAATAATATAACTACTGGAGATGTTGAATCTATCTATAATGATGATGTATTTAAACAGATTGATACCAATATCTCTATCAACACTTATAGATCATCATTAAATATCAACATTACATCCAACATCTACTATACACCATATACAGTCAATGTATCTAATAATATTGGTTATACAGAACTAGAGTATCAAGTTACAGGTCAATGTAAGTATTTACTATACATTATATACAATATGTAATAATATTGGTTATACAGATAACCACCATATCAAGTTGTAGCTCAGTGTAAGTATACTATAACATATACTATATATCATATAGTTAATGTATCAAATAATATTGGTTATTCAGATAACAATTCCAATGAAAATTATACTATATGTTAGTCTCAAAATGACTGACGTAATGTGCGAACATGATCCCATTTCATTGTACTGTAACTGTGTGGGTGAATGCTTGAATGATTAAATGAACATTACCCCGTAAGTGTAAAGATGTCACAAAATTCTCAGACGACATTTCGATGACATAAATGTTAGAGTATGTTAGAGTATAACATAACAGCACAATGTAAGTTTAACATCTATTATACATTATATTGAGTCAATGTATCTAATAATATTGGTTGTATAGAACTAGAGTATCAGGTTACAGGTCAATGTAAGTATAATACAATCATACAAGTCAATGTATCTACTAATATTGGTTATAAAGAACTAGAGTATCAAGTTGTAGCTCAGTGTAAGTATAATATAACATCTACTATACATCATATACAGTCAGTGTATCTAATAATATTGGTTATAAATTTGTAGCCCAGTGTAAGTATAACTACTATGCATTATATAAAGTAAATATTTATAATGATATTGATTATACAGAACTTGCTAGAGTATCAAGTTAAAACTCAGTGTTAGTGTAGCGTCTTCTACACATTATTAGGGATTAATGACTGGAGATCGCCTATTATGACAAGTTGTGGGTTAAGTTGTGTTGTACACGTGGCCCTAATAACTGCCTCTTGGTCAATAAAATTATATTTTAAATAATTTGCAGCTAAACCTGATGTACCTTCCAATATCAACTCATTACCACCAAGTGACGACAGTATCTGTATTACATGGACACCAGGATTTAATGGTGGAGATCAACAGGAATTTATTGTTCAACATTCAGTAGATAATAAAACCTGGACTAGTTCTACACCTCTACCAGAATCTCACTATTGTATAAAGAATCTACAAGCTGTTACACCATATTATATTAGAGTTATAGCTAGAAATACATATGGTGATAGTCAACCAGTTTATCTGATATCATCTGATGGTTCTTCTACAATACAAACTTTAAAGACAGGTAGGTAGGCAGGGTAGATAAACTACACACTTTAATGAAAGACTGGTAGACCATGATCAAGATGTTTTTTTTTAATTTGCGGTGATTATTAAATATATATAAAATCTATATCTAAAGTACAGATCACTATATAATAACAGGGGGAGGGGGGGGGGTCTAAGTGGTAATTATTATTGTAGTCTCAAATTTAAAGATAGGTATGATGTAGACTATGATTATTGTATTTTGAAGTTATTGTGGTAATGATCAGAAATATACAAAATCTATGCGTATAGAAGATATAGGCATTTTGCTTGATTTTGATTGGTCGGAAAGTGGTGTCGAATGAGTATAACAGGACTATAAATTTCCTATGTCGAGTTTCTTCTGATGAATATTTCCTGTTTTCGCAATGGGAAACAATTCATTGAAACCTTCATGTAGTCTGGCTTATAAATATGTCATCAACAATGCAACACACACCTGAAACACACACAAAACCAAATAAGTGGATGTGTATGAAAAATAAATAAGAAGAATTCATTTAAATGCTGGTCTGTAATATGACCATTTTGTCATAGTCAGACTGGTTATATTCCATGATTTAAAAAATTAATGAATTATTACGATTTGGTCCTTTTTAGAATCTATCTAACTGCTATTGTTTATTTGATACCCGAGATTTCGGCCCTGTAATGATTTCAGCGGTACCAAATGGATAATGCTAGTTGATAAATTGTTAACAGGAGGTGTTTATACAATTATTACTTTGCATGTGGGATATTCATTGCAGATGTCCCTACACCACCTGACACCAATGGAGGTTTAATAGCTGGAGTTGTTATAGCAGTGCTGGTAATTATTATTGTTGCTATTGTTGCTGTTATTCTGGTACGGAAAATGAGAAAGAAGCATGAAGGTTTGTTTATATGAACGTTACTGATGTACAATTCACACATTAAAATTTGTTTTTAAAAAAGTCGCAGGAAGTACAAGTATTAAATTCTGGTTTATTATTTTTGTTTCATCAGATACTAATGAAATTAATGAATTAGTTTATAAAATGTACATGTATTATATTTTAGCTGAATCATCAACATATGCTGGTTTAGATCTAGAGACTAGAACAGCTACTGGTGTAGATGATACAACATACCAAGGTTTACAACATTATGTTAATCTACAATCATCTTCTACAGTCAATAATAACCAGAATTACGTTTCACTGCAACATATAGAACCAACTACAGTATATGATAGTTTGAATACAGATAGAGATGATATGGTGGTATCTGGTAGATGGACTAATACCACCAGTAAGTATATAGTTTTAGTATTAAATGATACCCAATGTGCCATGCACCCCCCCCACCATTAACGCTTAATCGATCGATTACTATGATTGCATTTATTTTTCTTCTTCATTTCATTCACAAATGATTTAGCAATAAAATATTATCCGTTGCGATTCATGTGTTGCATGAAATATACATGTAGTAGGTTTGGGAGTCATTTATCGTTTTCCGGCTTTTGATCGTGTCTCCACAACAGATCTTTTTTTTATCCGAAATATTGTTCAAAGTCAGTATCAACTTTATTTTACTTTGGCATTTGTTGTTATTTTGGGGTTTGCGAAGTGTTGCGTGTTTGTATTGTACGTCAATATCTATGTATTTGCTTGGTAGGTTCTTGTCTTGATAACTGAATACCGATTTTATTTCAGATCGTTCAAATCCTTACGGAAATATTGATGCAACAGAAATACCAGCTTATGTTAATCTTAGACCTGGAAGCAATGCACAATAATTATAATCGTGATATAGATACGAACTGCGCCCTGCACTTGCTTATTTATTTATATCCTCTTATAAGTCTGCCTCCATACTGGCTATGGAACGTGTTTCCTTATTCGGGATTAAAAAAATTAGGAAAATTTCTTAGAAATTTCATATAATCGTTGTCAGTTTGTTAAGTAAACTGTGTTTTTCATTTAATTGACTTCTAAGAAGGATGCCTCGGCAATACATGAAATAAAATGGGGTTTAGCGTCCTACTGTTCTGAACCGACTGGGCTAATGAAGACGGGCATAAGCTATGCAATGTGTTATACGAGTTAGTTTTGCCCAGATAGTGCACTGCGGCCTACTCTTTTTTCGAATTCCAACTGTCACAGTTTCTTTGACATACACGGGACCCCTGTTTTTCGTCCCACCCGAATGACTTCACGTGGTACACCCCACCCCCGTGCCTGCACCACTGCCCAGCGGAATCACGCCACTCATTAGATGGATTCATAAAAAAACTTTTTTCACTTGCATGTCACAAAACGGTCCATTTTGCTTTTCAAGCTTGGATTACAAAAAACGAGACAAGACGTGTTTTGTTATTCGGGTTTCATATTTTCAATAACGAGACAGAATTGTTTCCTTATTCGTAATTTAACGAGCCAGAACCTGTTTCGTTATTCGGGATTAAAATAATAATAATATTTTTTCTTAGAAATTTCATACAATTAGTGCCCATTTGTGATTCAAAGAAAATTATTATTTTTTCTTGGTAATTTCATATTATTGTTGTCCATTTGTCAAGTACAATTTTATTTAATTGACTTATAAGATGGATGTCTAAGCAAAAAAAAAAAAAAAAAAAAAAAACCCACTAAAAACGTGTTTCGTTATTTGGGATTTAAATTTTGAATAACCAATAACGAGACAGAACGCCTTTCGTTATTCGGGATTCAACTAATATTAATATATTTTTTCTTAGACATTTCATACATGTATGTTTAATTCCCAATGCTTAATTTTTATATTTGGAATTTCTTAGAGGTCACAATTTTTATCCGATTTCAAAAACCGTTCGAATATTTTGCCGTTTATCCATCATGATGGTTGAGTTCTAATTTTGTGAAAATTGGACCGAAACTGCCGGACAAAATGGCCGTTGTCTGTATGCAAATAGTCTTAAAGTATGTAATATCAAAGTTTTGAACCCTCTAGAGGTCACAATTTTGATCCGATTTTGATGAAATTTCAAACATGAGTTTAAATCTCAACGGTCTAGGATCCTTTCGATATTCGCGCATACCAAACCATAACTTCCTGGATAATGACCCCTTATTGTACGAAAACAAAAAGATTTTAGGTGGGCCAACTAGAGGTCACAATTCTTTATCCGATTTTAAAAAATCGTTTAAATATTCCATCGGAACGCCCTAATGATGACGCTTGAGTTCAAATTTTGTAGAAATCGGACGCTGCTTGAACGCAAATAGTGTAAAAGTATGTAATACGAAAGTTGTGGTCACATTGTTTGTCCGATTTTGGTGAAACTACAAACATATGTTTCTATCCGATAGATCCTAAATCCTTCGACATTTGCGCATTTCAGACCCTAGCGTCCTGGATTATGGTCCCTCATTGTACAAAAAATCGCGACATTTTTTTTAGCTTGTTCTCTAAAATCTCTTGCCAAATTTGGGCGTATCTTGCATGGCAATGAAAAATGAATATATTAAAAATTTCTTTCAAAATACTTTATTTTGAGTGAAGTTACAACTGTTTGAAGATATAATGTAGATCGTTCATTATCCTAGCAACGGTACTTGTCCATCTTTTCGTTAATTTTTAAATCGTGCGGTGGGTTATAAATGTTAATAAATGTTAACAAATGTCTAAATAATAAATTATATAACATTTGAATTCAAAACAAAGACATCCAATAGGCGGATTTAGCTCTTGCATAACGTTTCGTTAAAGATGACATAGTTTGTATCGAATGGACCGTGACGGAAAGTTATGGAACGCTGAAAATCATAACTCCAATGCTTCATTTTTAAAGTGTAATTTATATATTGGCATGGCATTAAAGTATTCATTCGCGAATTTCTCACAATGTTTATCGACAGGCATTTCTTTTTTTCTGGACAATTTATTTGTGCACGATGTGGGTTAATTCTCTAATTTAGTTACATTCACGATTTTTCATCATAGTATTATCCGCATGCTCTTTGTGATATTTGACATTCATGAGGTATTTACTAAAAATAGATAACATCAATTACTCTATGTTATACCAGGGTCATAATGTACCGGGATCATCGATCTGGAACATTTTAGAAACACGTGGATGAGGAACATATGTTGTTAGTCATAGAGTATGTTAGTTATATTAAACGCCAGGGTCACAATACATCAGGAACACCAAATGTTCACCTAGAAAGTTGAATCACTAGGATCTTTCTAGTAACATAATTATGGCAGTTATGATATCACATACCAGGAAGATGATATCACATACCAGGAAGATCTACTGTTAGTATAAAGGGTATCATGTCAGTTATGATATGCCATATCAGGGAGATGTATCAACCCATAAGTCTTTAAATATATCATATAGCAGGAACATGTACAACGCAGAATTCATTCACTCGTAAATCACGCGATATAAATTATTAAAAGAAAACCTTGACACAAAAATAACCCAAATTGGAGCGAAAAACAAAGGGTAAAATATGATTTTATCCTACTGCTTTTACTTGAAAAAAATCCATCCAGAGAGATTATAACATTAAATTGTCATTGATAGAATAAATGAAAAACTTATTTCATACACCAATCCCCCAAACAGCGCGGTGTCGGTGATTCTCCCAACACGGCGAACGCCGATAAATAAGGCTAATTCTCCTTGATGATCGGGATTTGTTTTTATTCTGCTGCAAAGAAATGCTATGTGCTGGTCGTTCTAGACATATTAGTTCAAAAACAAATCATGCAAACTGAATATATTGGAAATTTTCGTCAAATTACTTAATTCTGAGCAAAGTTATTCCTACCATTGTTACGATAATAAACAAAGTCTCAAATATACATTTTTAAATTAAATTGTTGAATGTTTTAATCCGTTCAAAATCACAGCCACCCGATATGGGCCTTTCATGTGAATACATTTCTAATTAATAATTTATATAAGATTTGAGGCCAAAAGAAATATCGGTTATATGCAGATTTAGCTCTTACATAATGCATCTTGGCACAGGGACGTTCAGAGGACTATGTTCCTGCGAAACCGTTACCAGCTAGCGGGTTACAAGTCTGCCATCCTCATTTTATAAGGCACCGGAAATGTATGTTTGCAGTTTAAAGATATTGTTTTACGTGCTATAAGGAATAAGGTAGTTATCGTTGCAGGGAAGATGTTTAAATATAAATATTGTTTGTTTATTTTAACCTAAGACTAAAATTCATATAAAATTAGTCCCTAAATAATACCCGTGCCAAAAATATCAATATCTACACATTCTTCCTTACCAGATATGTTGTTTTCATTCCGGGTTTTTGCACATGATAACGGTGAATTCAGGTAATATTATTTTGAGTCCTAGTAAATTCATGAAAACAGATTGATTTGTTTCTTGTTCATGGGTAAGAGCTGAGTAATTTTTGATATCTGAATTAATTTTAAAAAAAAACCATAAAAGGATTGTTTTTATTACATGTCGGCCATTGGGGTTTTTAAAAAAAATATTTTTGCAGCATCCAAATACAGAAGTGTAATGACTACACGAATTATGCCTTCAACAAGCTCTAGTGATAATATTATTCCGTGTACTTATATTGTATTTAATCTAATGAGTCGATTTGCATTTTGGTCGAAATATCTCAAACATTAGTGACGTCGTGCACAGCCTGTAAAACTAGGGAATATCTTTGTATTTCAATGCGTTAATACGCCGCCGATCGAGATATGTGACACGTACAAAGGATTTGTTATTTAAAAAGGCAAATGTCAACTGATCCGTTTATTGAAATTAATATTATACAGATATCGCTTTTAAAATAGATGATGAAACAAAATTTTGATATGGTTAGTCATAGGACTGTGTTTATAAATGTAATTGCTATTGAGAATGAAATGAATATTTTGCATGCAACGCAGTGAACTGTTAAAAAAATTATAAATAAATGGATGACGTGTAATAATCATTATAATATTTTAGGTGTAATAAAAGTCTTAAGGAACATCCTTGTCGGGTTTAATCTTCTTTTTTTATCTCCAATATTATGTTTCATAACATCCATAGGGAAGACTATCACATTTCACCCTTTGTGATGATGTTGTCGGGTAAAGTGTTTATCAGCAGCCTCAAGATAACTATTGTAAACGTTTAACCTGTCACAGACGAATATTTCTATCTGCACCCACCACTATATTTGCAACCCAATGATCATAGTTCCGTTAGATATTGGCGCTTATCAGATCGTAACTTTCTGGATTATGGCCCTGATTGTACGCAAAAGCACGTATTAAGCTTGTGGACCCTGTAGAGATAATAATGTTTATTCGATTTTTAAAACCATTCAAATATATCACCAATAAACCCTGATGACGTTTGTGTTCGAATTTCGTGATCATCAGATCGGAACGGCACGACACAATTGTCTCTCCTCGTACGCAAGTACTGTAAAACTATGTAATACGAAGGTTGTGGGCCCTCTAGGGGTCAAAATGTTAAACATGACAAGGTTTCTTTCCGTTTGGAGAAGTTGGACTATGGAAAATGTATGAACCATTTTCCTTTTTTTTAATTCTGTGATGGGTTATTTTTATCACAAAAGTTCGACACGATATTGGATATAAAATAGGGTGTTTTTGGTCTGTGGTGTTTTTGAAAGAGTTTCACAGCTGCCGTGTAATGGTGTGGGGCTGTTCGAACAACCGATCAGACGTCCCTTATCAGTCTCCCATGTGTTACCCACGACATTCAAAGACCAGGCTTAAAAGGGTTCTTCTTGTAACATCCTTGTCAATAGCTTGTCAAGAGTTCAGCGACCTGACCGTTCGATCATCACGGCCATT